ATGTGAGGAGCCGGAAACGTCGCATCTGTCGTTGTTAATAACACAGATGGCGTTATAAAATATAGCATACAGCATTTATGTCCTCTACAAAAATTGTATAATAAACTCAGATTTAAGTGAGGAGCAGGCAACGTTGCATATATATCTGGCAATCAGGTGATGTGCCAAAAAAAAAAAAGCGCTTGACTGCCATAAATCAATCGTGTTCGCCTATGGACAGCACGGGACTGACTGTTCTTTTTTCAGTGTAAATGCTTTTTGTTTTGTGATGTTAAGTCAATGTCATAGGTTTTTTCTAACCTAGAAAATACAACATAATGAAAAGAAAAATTATGTTTCTGAAAGTTAATTCCCAAATGTCATTATATGAAAAGTATTGAGATTAAACAAATCATAGTTATGCTATTTTTTCAAAAAACACTGGATAACATTATCCGTATCTACGTATGTGGAGGATCTGAAAACAACTGTAATTATGTGGTATTCACCACACCAAATTTGTTCTATTCTTTTATAATTTCTTAGAACATCAATATTTCTTTTAGTGCTAATATGCTTTGCGTTGAAAACAAAGCTGTCCATGTTCATATGGAAATTTCGTTTTTAAATTGACCAAGCATTCGATGGTTAAAGTATGTCTACATATTTTATTAACACCCATCATACGTAAACAATATAGATTTAATAGTATAGTTATATTAAGCATTATTAACAGTTATTCAACGTAAAAATTATACTGGTGCACATAACGAAGGTTATGTAATATAAACAAAATGCTGTTCTAACTTGGCGCCAAGTTATAACTGCAAAAAATGTAGAAAGGCCTTCAGTTGGAATTTTCCTTACTTTTCTTGTACAAAATTATCAATGGGCACATTGATTGCCCCCAACCATTAAGAATCACCCTGTAGTTCTCTGATTGTTCAGAAAGCTATGTTATAAAGATGTATTTTTATTGATTAGAAAAAAATTTCATACATTCTGCTGTTCCATCATTTTTATGAATTATCAGTTGATTTGTCCAGGCATTGTTTAGTTTACAAGACGTCTGAATGTTTGAAGTTCTTTTCAAATAATGATCTGAACTTAATGTTCTCTTCCCAAAATAATAATATATCATAGTTTAGCAAAATATCTATATCAAGTTGCTGTTATACTGGAGTATTTAAAGTTCCGGTGGATTACAAAAGAGAGCATAGCCCATCTGACACTGCCCTGTGGGCATCCATGTTATTGTTCAATAACATATGGCTTGGATGGCATTGAAATTATAGTCAGCTTTGCATATCAACCCTGCTGCTCTAAGAATGGATGATTTGAAATGAAGTGTGGAAACTGTTTTCGACAAAAAGCAGTATAATCATCACTGGTTATTGAGTCATATAAAAACTTACAAATATTGTTTGCAAATCTCCTTCAGAGCTGTGCCTTTAGGTTAGATCACAAGTAATCTCCGAGCTTCTGATAATTCTCAGGATCTCAGGGGTTGACACCGGTGGCTAAACTCTTCTGTTCAAAAAGTTATACGGAGATTTCAACAGGTATGATCTTCAAATGTTACACTTCTCAAATGAGTAACTGCTGCATTCTGATCTTCCTCAGCATTTCCAGAAGCCTATCTATTGACTGGAACATCTTACCAATACTAAAGTTTTGATTTGGAGTTTGTCTTATAGTATTTACAAATATATTAGAACTGTGGGTATTTACATGTTTATACTTCGCAATTCTGAACAAAAGGCACATGTCTCAAATATATAATAGGGACGTTATTCAATCAAAATGAAATGTTTATGTTAGAAGAAATGAAAATGGCTTGCGAAGTAAGGTTATTTTTGCAAAGCACACAGCTATAGGAAGCAATCTACTAGAAATTTGAATCTGACCAATCAGACAACGTCAGTTGTGAATAAGCGGCACATTTTTTGAGGGTACAACATGATTGTCATATTGTGCACCCACAACACTGCTTTGTTTCCCATTCGCTCATGAGTTTCATCCCTTTGTATAGCGCCATAAAGAAGCCTTCCGGAAATTTAAATCTGACCAATCAGACAATTTTTAGAAGGTGTGACATGGTTGTCATATTGTGCATCCATAGTAGTGCTTAGTTTCCCATTCGCTCATATGAGTTTCACCTCTTTGAGTATAAGGTTAAGTAACGTGTTTTGTGTATGCAACAAGACATACGCGTAACTGTAACGACTGTTGCAACCACTTGGCTGTTATAAATACACAGCTATATTTAATCTTGTAGACTTTTGGTCTCTTTAGAGTGGATTAAAATTAAGTGTCATGTAAAATTGTGGCACTAATTAGGGTTTACAATCATATTTAAGCCGATAATGACTTGTATAAACTCCTAAATTTCAAGTTGCCTAGTTGCGGGTAAACATTGAAACGTTGCCAAATCGTACTTGACTGTTATTACCATTATAGTCCGGTATGTTTAGAATATAGAGATTTAAATCTATTCAAAAATATTTACTTTCACGCCTAAAAAAGGATAATACTTATCGGTATAATCCAATATTGGATGGAGTGATCGTCATAAAGCCGAAAATGGTACGTTTTAGATGTTTCGGTATCACGCGCTTGATGGAGTAATTTTAAAATATCTAAAATTTTCAATGGAAACGAATAATGATGAAAACAGTTGCAGATTTGAATCCGAGGTATGAGCTTTCTTATGTAAAAGCCGCCAAGTCCGTATCTTTGTTATCTTCGGAGAATATAGACTATAGACAGTGAAAATAGAAAAACCCTCTTTAATCTCCTACTATTCTCTATGTTTTAGGGCTGTGGTGTCAATCGTTCTACAATGTTATGACCTTATTAATTGTCATAAATCAAATCCAAGGGAATAACCACAATGTTTTGTGTTATGTGCCGCGGTTATAATATGATTCAAGATGACGTCAGTTACACGAATCGCTTGAACGCATTGGTTTTAACCGCGGTTTTGTTGCAAGTTGTTTATTTAGAAAAGCGCGTATATGATTTCTGATTATTTTTATTATCACTTAATAATTGGTGCTTTTTCGTTTACAACTGTATATGGAAAGTTTAAATAAGAAACCTGTCATAATATTCATGGGAGAAATGTTTTTTCAGATTTTTTTTTTAATGATGGAACCATGGCTTTGAAGCTATGATCACTTTCAATTCTCTAATTTTTCCGCGTGTCAAAGAAAACATTTATTGATTCAGCAGAAATGATGAAAAAAGAAATTAGCAAAAGCGTATACAGTGGATATCATCTAGTCAGTTTATATGGCCATATTTTAATATCTTGTGGTATATGGCTACACAGGATAGTTTGTTAAGCATAAGAACTACATTTAAAGTGCTCCCAACAATAATGAGTATAATTAATAAGGTGCTCCACTGTATGGTAAAACTGAAGTCAGCCTGTATCAATGTTCTCAAAAATGAAGCTGAAGTACAATAATAATATCCAATACTCGCAAAATTCTAACTGGTCACATTTCAAATAATAATCAGAAATATAAAACTACTTTTAAGTTGGGTAAATACCACAATTTTGCGGGTGATAACTATGACATATAACAGCTGATTCGTGACGTCACGGATCTTATAACCAAATTGATAATTACACTCGGTTTGAACCGATCGGTAAATACCAATCCAAAATGGTAAATACCATTTCCATTTTGGTTATCCGCTTGAATTTGATTATAGTTTGTACAGTTTTTCAGAAACGTTTCTGTTGTTCCGTGTCAGCGCTTTATTTTCAGGTTATGTTTTATTAGCCTGAAATTTCGTATCATTAAAATAAAACAACCTCACAATAGGACAGCCCTGGCAATGATATGGAACAGTAGAAATCTAATACATAAACCTTTTTGAAGGATAGAAAAGAGTATGAAAATGAAGGTTATAATAGCGTTTTACGAGACAATTGTAGGAACTATTGATGATAGCGCCCTTAATTGCCTAGTTGTTTTAGTGTGTTAATTAAATGCTATATACTGTATGTTACTTCTACCTTTCCCTATCCTTCTACCATTTTTTAATTCTATACGTTTAAAAGTATTTTCAAAAAGATCAGAACTTCTGAACGTCAAAGAATGAGGTTTGAGCAATTTTTACTTCTTTTTTTTTTCACTATCAATGAATCGATTTCTAAAAATTATAAGGATTTTTCGTTTCTTGGTATAGCAATACCTTGCTTAAAAGAAAATCATTTACTCTATAAGTTAGGTAGTGATTATTCACAAGAAATTTGTACGCCTTGAGGATAGTAAGTGTATCTTCTAGTGACACAATAAACACCAGAATCTGTTTTAGCAGATGGAAAATTCTATTGTCAAAATAAATTTTAATAGCGGTACGATGTGATCTGAAATATTAATATTTCGTAAAATTGTGACTGTTGAAAACAATTTGACGAATTTTCTTTTAAGCTGAAAGTATATACAGTATAAGGGATAAGGAAATTAAACAAGTGATATTCAATTATATATTGATTTATTTTTGAAAAATTACAATTTATTAGATTTTACAGCTAACAATTATATAAGAAAATTGGAAAAGTGATAATAAAGAATGATATATGTATTCATTGTAAAGTCTATTAGGTTTTATAACAATTGATATTTTTGAATGGCATTTTCTATCATCGTCGAAGTATAATTCGCTTAGGATCTAACATCAGCGTGAAGATATTAAATGCCTAAAAAAATTTATTAAATATAAAATTATATCTAGGAGTATATGTGTATTAAATAACTTACATAAAAATTTTTGATTATCAGATTTTACTATGTTGATGTGATAATTTTGTAGTATTGTAGTTGTACATAGTAATAGTATAATAATGGGTACATATTATTTAGGTGGACTCTGTTTTTGCTTTATATAGTTATGTGTTCTACAATTTTAAATATACTGTAGAAAGAATCTGAAATGGCAAGATTATATAGTAAATTGCTAGTAAAGTGGGCATTTCGTTTTTGTTTTTGGAAAAAAAAAATTACCTGACTGCCTTTAGTTTTCATTAAAGTTTGCTTTTAAAGTTATCCTTTATCTATAGTTATTATCAATACAGCGGACAGGGACTGCGAGGAATATTGTTGATTTCTTTGTAGAGAGATCGTCCATAGTGGCGTGACAATTTCTACTTCTGAACAGGTTGCAAAGTAGAATTCACATCAACATTTTTCAACATTTATCATCATTAAACAGAAATAATTAAAACAGTGATCTGTAACTGATTAATGTTAGATGAAAAGGATTAATTTGCAGCTCTCAGCTAGTCCCATGTTCGGACTACCCAGGACTCACCGCGCGGAGGTAGCTGCAAGTCGAGTCCCACCCTCCTTCCACCCGTCTTTCAGTTTCAATAAAATGATAAATACTTATTACAAAAAGAAAAAAAAATGAAACTGTAAGACGCACAAAATTAAACGTAAAATCTGATTATGTCAAAATGAAAACAAATACAAAACGACTATGAATAATATATATCTGAAAAAAAGGAAATCTAAATAAGTAAATAAATATTTAATTGAACAAATGGTAAATGGTGTTGAATTAGGTGTTTTTATAATCCTTGCATACATTAAATTTGCTTCTTAATTGTACCAAAAAAAAACCATTTACCAAAACTTTAATGTATCATCTAAGTTACTTCGCTCTCTTGTTTGTTATTTATTTCATTGATTTTTTTGTTTCCTTGTTCTATAATTTCAAGTATACTGAAAAAAATTGGTAACGGAAAATTGTATTTTCCATCTATTTTCGCAAAAAATGATTGCCAGTGTTTATTATTGTTTCTCATTAGACTATGTTTCTAAGTTATTCTTCTTCCAGTATTCATATTGCAAAATTATCTAGGTAGATCATATCCCTTTTTCATATGATTTCATTTTCCATCATGTCATCTGAAAAAAAAATTATAATGCAGGACTTTTTGTTAAAATGTCAGATTCTTAGAAATATTTAATATCTGTGTTGTGAAAAAATATAGTTGATACCACTAAAATAATGTACATGAATGTTTTCAGAACAATATCTTATATCAAAGAAACTTACGTCAGATGTTTCAGACATTAGTATCCATTCTGTAATTGTATAGATATATGGTTGCTATAATAATGCGTAAACACTATTAAGTGGATTTCTTTCTGTTGTGTCTTTTGTTTTGTAATTTTAATTTTACTGAAAGAGAAACCTGAAAATGGAGAAAATGCAGATGATATAGATTGCATTTTCCATCTGTTTTGGAAAAACATGATTGATTGTCATCTTTTCCTATTATAGTTTGCTTCCAAGTTGTCTTTTTCTCAGCATTAATATTGCAGTTTATGGTTAAGTCGAGTTTTTCTTCTTTATAAGGTTTATTTTTCAAGCTGTTTCTGTTACATTAGCATTATGGTAAATAGCAGACAACATATAATCCCAGATTTTTAGACCTTCCAATGTGAGCGTTTCGTAATTTTTGTGATCTAATATTGGATGCTCATTAATCAAGTGGGGTTTTGCTTTTTCATATATGTTTTGTTGTTTAGTATTTTAAATAACCTGAAAAATAGACCTAAAAATGGAAATATTGTTGATGATGTAATCTGCATTTTATATTGAAAAGTTTCTCGGACTATCTCCATCTGTTGTTGCAACTATGCATCCTTTTTCAGTATTGATATTGTAGTTTTTAGCTTGTAGGTTCATCGTTGATATCCTTACATCGTTTATTTTTTCAACGATTCATCTAAAAAACGTAAATGGACATACATTTTTTGTCAACAAAACTGTTTATATCTTATAAATATGATATGGTTTTGGTAAATAAGTCGTAGCTGATAGGATTAAATGTACAATAAGATGTTCAGAAGAATATTTGTGAAAAATATTTTGTATAACTTACATAAAAGTCCTTATTTGACCCATTAGTATTGTATACACAGAATAGTATATGGTAACATGATTTGCTTGTGAAATTATGGTTCCTCCACTACCATTTATGTTGTAATTTATAGTTAGATCAACCTTTTCTATTTCTTTATGTTATTTGCTTCTGTAGCGGTTGAGTACAATGGTCTTTGAAATATATCTACATTCCATATTGTATAATTTTAAGTAAACTGAAAAATAAAGCTAAAAATGGAAAGATTGTTGATGGTGTAATCTGCAGTTTGTATTGAAAAGTTTCTCGGACTATCTCCATCTGTTGTTGCAAACTATGCATCCTTTTTTCAGTATTAATATTGTAGTTTGTAGCTTGTAGGTTTATCGTTCATATTCCTTGCATAGTTTATTTTTTTTTAACGATTCATCTAAAAAAAGGGATTAAAATGTACAATAAGATGTTCAGAAGAATATTTGTGAAAACTATTTTGTATAACTTACATAAAAGTCCTTATTTGACCCATTAGTATTGTATACACAGAATAGTATATGGTAACATGATTTTGCTTGTGAAATTATGGTTCCTCCACTACCATTTATGTTGTAATTTATAGTTAGATCAACCTTTTCTATTTCTTTATGTTATTTGCTTCTGTAGCGGTTGAGTACAATGGTCTTTGAAATATATCTACATTCCATATTGTATAATTTTAAATAAACTGAAAAATAAAGCTAAAAATGGAAAGATTGTTGATGGTGTAATCTGCAGTTTGTATTGAAAAGTTTCTCGGACTATCTCCATCTGTTGTTGCAAACTATGCATCCTTTTTTCAGTATTAATATTGAAGTTTGTAGCTTGTAGGTTCATCGTTCATATTCCTTGCATAGTTTATTTTTTCAACGATTCATCTAAAAAAAGGGATTAAAATGTACAATAAGATGTTCAGAAGAATATTTGTGAAAAATATTTTGTATAACTTACATAAAAGTCCTTATTTGACCCATTAGTATTGTATACACAGAATAGTATATGGTAACATGATTTTGCTTGTGAAATTATGGTTCCTCCACTACCATTTATGTTGTAATTATAGTTAGATCAACCTTTTCTATTTCTTTATGTTATTTGCTTCTGTAGCGGTTGAGTACAATGGTCTTTGAAATATATCTACATTCCATATTGTATAATTTTAAATAAACTGAAAAATAAAGTTAAAAATGGAAAGATTGTTGATGGTGTAATCTGCAGTTTGTATTGAAAAGTTTCTTGGACTATCTCCATCTGTTGTTGCAAACTATGCATCCTTTTTTCAGTATTAATATTGAAGTTTGTAGCTTGTAGGTTCATCGTTCATATTCCTTGCATAGTTTATTTTTTCAACGATTCATCTAAAAAAAGGGATTAAAATGTACAATAAGATGTTCAGAAGAATATTTGTGAAAATATTTTGTATAACTTACATAAAAGTCCTTATTTGACCCATTAGTATTGTATACACAGAATAGTATATGGTAACTGATTTTGCTTGTGAAATTATGGTTCCTCCACTACCATTTATGTTGTAATTTATAGTTAGATCAACCTTTTCTATTTCTTTATGTTATTTGCTTCTGTAGCGGTTGAGTACAATGGTCTTTGAAATATATCTACATTCCATATTGTATAATTTTAAATAAACTGAAAATAAAGTTAAAAATGGAAGATTGTTGATGGTGTAATCTGCAGTTTGTATTGAAAAGTTTCTTGGACTATCTCAATCTGTTGTTGCAAACTATGCATCCTTTTTCAGTATTAATATTGTAGTTTGTAGCTTGTAGGTTCATCGTTCATATTCCTTGCATAGTTATTTTTTCAACGATTCATCTAAAAAAGGGATTAAAATGTACAATAAGATGTTTCAGAAGAATATTTGTGAAAAATATTTTGTATAACTTACATAAAAGTCCTTATTTGACCCATTAGTATTGTATACACAGAATAGTATATGGTAACATGATTTTGCTTGTGAAATTATGGTTCCTCCACTACCATTTATGTTGTAATTTATAGTTAGATCAACCTTTTCTATTTCTTTATGTTATTTGCTTCTGTAGCGGTGAGTACAATGGTCTTTGAATATATCTACATTCCATATTGTATAATTTTAAATAAACTGAAAATAAAGCTAAAAATGGAAAGATTGTTGATGGTCTAATCTGCAGTTTGTATTGAAAAGTTTCTCGGACTATCTCCATCTGTTGTTGCAAACTATGCATCCTTTTTTCAGTATTAATATTGTAGTTTGTAGCTTGTAGGTTCATCGTTCATATTCCTTGCATAGTTTATTTTTTTAACGATTCATCTAAAAAAAGGGATTAAAAATGTACAATAAGATGTTCAGAAGAATATTTGTGAAAATATTTTGTATAACTTACATAAAAGTCCTTATTTGACCCCTTAGTATGTCGTAAGTATGAATACACAGAATAGGCATATGGTAACATGATTTTGCTTGTGAAATTATGGTTCCTCCACTACCATTATGTTGTACTTTATAGTTAGATCAACCTTTTCTATTTCCTTATGTTATTTGCATTTGTAGCGCTTGAGTACAATGGTCTTTGAAATATATCTACATTCCATATTGTATATTTGTCCAAGAAAGAATTTCTTATTATTTCTCTTCATTTTACTGGATTATGCTGCTTTGCAATAGCTCATTATATACTACGTTAACAGTGTAAGAGTGATTATTTGGAGTTTCAGCTACATGTTGACGGTCACCTATATTTATCATTTGAATCTTGAGGTTTTCAAAACTCTTGCTCTTGATAGTGCAACATACAGTTGTCCGTGATCAAATACTGTTACTGGTAAAAATAAGCCGACACTGTTCAAAGTTTGACCTTGACTTTTATTAATTGTCATTGCAAAAGCCAGACGTACAGGGAATTGTCTCCTTTCAAGTTGACTGGTAGATCAAGAGAATTAGAGCGATATTATCAACTCTGGAAATAAATTCGATCGAAGGTTCATTATTAGATTCTTCCACTCGTTTCGCTTCTATAAAATTTTCGTGTAAATTATGAATCAATAAACGTGTGCCGTTACATAAGCCTCTCTTCACATCTAAATTCTTCGTTAAAATGATAACTGCGCCAATCTTTAGTGTAAGTATGTGGGGAGGAAGTCCTGGAGCATCCAAAGAATTTAAAAAGTCTTGCGGCCATGCGGATCTAAATCATCAGCAGCATTTTCGGTGTATCGTCTTCTCGGATAATACTATCGACACTTAGGTATTGCCGTGACCTACCTGGCAGTTTTTCTAAAACAACTGAATTGATATCCTTGACATGAATGTTTAGTGGAGACAAAATCGCTTTTTGTAATAATGTGAAATCGTGTTCAGTTAAATTACTACCGTATATGCTTTCAGTAACATCTTCTACAATGATACGATTAGGAATTTTAACTATAGTGTCTCTGCTATTTTCTAAGCGACGTAAAATTTCGGAATTATTTCCTATGGTCATCAGCCAATCTTTGAATTCGTTTTCTTGTGGCAATGCTCTAACGTTCGTAACAAGATCGTACTGAACAAAGTATTGCCATAGTTGGGAACATTTCACTGATGCAGAAATAGTTTCATTTTTGCCTGCCAACGGACGATAGGTGCGCATTGCCTGAAATCACCTAGAATTATGATAATCTTGCGCCAAATGGAAGTCATTGTTCATTATTCTCTTGTCTTTCTATCTATCTCATTGAATATACTTTTATGTACCATAGATATTTCATCAATGACAATAATTTTTGAATATCTAATATTATCAGCAATCGTACTCTGATTGCGAATCCTCGACGTTGAATTTTCTAGAAATGGAACCGGTAACATAAAAGAAGAATGAATCGTTTGGCCATTTTTCAATAAGCTGGCTGCGATGCCAGTATAACACATAGCAATATAACGGTGATTATTTCCTAGTAAGTAAGCCAGTAGTGTATTCAACAGAAATGTTTTTCCTGCACCTCCAATTCCGTTAATAAAAAATAGACGATGTGGAACCCTTTAGTTTTCGTTAGGGCCAAAGTATGTCGTTAAAAATAAGGCGTTGTCTTGGTTTAACAGAGGAATGTTCCTATTAGCAATTTGTTGTTCGTCTGCTTGGTCATAATTGTATTCATCTTCGATTAGGTGTTCTACTGGTTCAGTGGGTAAGGGTAGTGATGAAAGTCTCTATTTGATTTGCCTAAAAATAAAAATGTATGTGATTGAACAATATTATATAATTATACTGGGAAATTACTTATCACATTAATATTATTTTAAAATAATGTAATATAGGTATAAGATCGATTGAAATAAAAAATGTATTATGTTATGTTAAATTAATAGTGTTAAAGATATTGACGTAATGAATTAATTCATATTTTTTTAGCACGGTAGTGTTACCTAGAAAATGATTAAATTTAAAAAATTTCGAATACGGAAAAAATGTAAAGTAAAAATAAAAAGTTATTTGAAAACATAGGCATCAATTTTAAATGAATTAATAAAACTAATTATGATAGAAATACTAACCTTGTAGTGTTAGATATCGATTGATGTAAGCCAAAGCATAGTTGTAGGCTAGTTCGTATTATTTAAGCGTCGTATATAATCTTCGGATAAATGATATTTAAATTGTTCCCATAATGCTAACGGATTTTCGATTTCACAAAAAAGTAACATTTGTGAAAACATACGGCGAAGAGCTCGTGGAATTTCTACGCGTATAGCCTCTTGCAAAGTAGAAACCAAATGCTATCGTCCGTGAGAAGGTTCATCGCAATAGCAGCGTCACGGAACGTTTCGTACGTACGGCCATGTACAGTTCGAAGGTCTTCGAATGATCTACATCCTGTTTTATGCAAAAGAAGTTGACGAAGATAAAATCGTTCCCTTCTCTAGGATGAACAAAATATAACCTAGGAATTAAACGATCAAAATTTCGTTGACGTTTTACCCAATGTCTTGTTTGACTTATTTTCCACACATACTTATAAGGTATTTGTACGTAAGTGTATTGCCTAGCTTCTTCGTCTTGTACATTCAAAGCGAACCATCCTGTTAGCGTAGTGTGTTGTGTTGCGGCTCTTTCTACAACGTCAGGGATGGTACTTATTGTATTAAAATAGACTGTTGCATATTGGGAAGATGTACAGTAAGTTTGATGATAGCATGAGACATATCGTGCATTTCGAATGTATAAATTCTCCACATTGCCTCAGGTGCGCTAACATAGCGAACGTCCATGAACGTTTGAATTTCGTTGTATATAGGTTCCTGAATAGTTGTTGTTTGACCGTCTTGTTCCTCTACAGTTCGCACGACAATTGAGCTCTATCAATCCTTTATATATATATTTAAATAAATATTTCACGCTTTTTATTGAAGAACAAGCCTCTACGTTAATATGAGCTTCGTATTTTTCAAGTAGATAAGCATTGTATGGTACAACCCAACCGTTATCTACTGTTCTTCTACCTATGTGTATAGGTACTTCTATTGGCCGTCTTTTATATAGCGGATATCCAGAGGAATTGTATAATGTATCTTCACGCAAAGATTTCGGGAATTGTTTGCTGCACTGTCCTTCGTCATCTAAGCATCGAGCAGCAGTACAAGGTCCATGAAGCATATGTACTTTGACCAATTCGTGCAAGTTGGGATGCGTGATAGGGTCGGGGAAATTCTGCTGAAATTAAACGGTCGATTGCTGCAGAGTCCAAGATTTTATCTGATCCTTCCAACCAAATCAACATATGCGCATGAGGAAGGCCTCTTTTCTGAAATTCTATCACGTAACGTAAGCAACGCAAATTCCATGACATGTCGTTTATCAATATCTTCTATTAATTCCTTCAATTTGCTCTTAAACAACCCTCGAAACAAAATCGGGGCCTATTTGAGGAATGTTGGTTTGTATCTAGGTTATTCCTAATTTCAGGCCAAACAGGATTGCAAGTAAATGTTAGGAAAATATCTGGTTTCCCATGTTTTGTGACTATAGACATGGCATCCAAATAATTTTGTCTAAATGCGCGTGGGCTTCCTATGAATGTTGACGGTAGGATGAAAATATTGCCTGGTTGATAGTGAACATCAAGTTGTCTAGAGTCTAAATAGTCGATTAGTCCTTGGAATATTTCTTGCCTGATGCGTGGTTGGTTTCAGTAATAAATTGTAATCGACTCTGTTCTATTTTTACGTATGCATCTACGATGTACTGTTGCGTCAGCTTGCCTGCCATTACAAAGTGGTTGAAAGTATCTGGTCGAACAGCTATTCTAAAACTGTAGTATTCCAGTAAAGATACATCACCTCTTCTACGTTGATGCGCTGTTCCAGATTGCCAGCCTGGCTCACCTCTTGGATGTAATAGGGGATATGTCATTGCGGTCGCAGTTAACACTAAGATATGGTAATTCGTGGATGATTTGATCGTTGTCTCGACAATAAACATGTAAGCAACGATCCAGGGGCGGTCTTCCATCTTCAGAAATAAATACGGCTGCTATTTCATTCGCTTGTACTGCGCCATATTGTCTAAAATTAATATCCCGAGCACGGTTGTTATTGATGTACAATTCTAAAGTTAGTTGACGATTGTTATGTTGTTGTTCCTGATAGACATCTTTAAGAAATCTATACGCTTGAGCAAAAGGATTGTGGCTGTGCATGTAATTAGAAATAACATCGACGGTTTCTCGATTTAATTCCGTTCGATTTTGTGGGCCAGCAGACCGAAGCTGATTTGCCAGTTCGGTATCCAAAAAATATAGATTGCCGTATTGTCTGCGTTCATTAGAAATATTTGTTGAAACATTTGATATATAATGTCTTATTTCTCCCTGTACCTGTAAAGAAAAATAAATTCATGGAAGGGATAACGAATTTATTAATATTATAAGTGGTTTAAAAAAATGAAATAATTGGTGTCTAATATATAACTGTTCTTTGTATATGAATAAAATAAATAGTATTGTAAAAAAGATACAAGTAAGATATGAAATATATACTGGGAAAGGTTGGGAAATCTCGAAACTGGATATGTTACAGACCAAAATGTGTGAATTGACTTAAACATATCTCAATCTAAAAGTTGATAGTTTGCAAGATACAGGATGTCAAAGTTACAATTTTATTTTCTATTTTTCCTTAATGTTTGAGAAGTATTTCAGATGTTGCCATAAAACACGGTATAGGGAGGTCTTCTACTATAAGAAACAAGAATTCGTTATTTTTT